AAACATCATGATGATAAAAAAAAAAAAAGGAAAGAGACAGGAATAGTGAAACATGTTTTCTCAGAAATCGATACAAAAATCCCCCACCTCACTGAAAAAAAAAAAAAAAAGTTAAAACTGATTTAATAAGAGTTTAAAACTAGAAGTTTTAATTTATGCACTATTGCATATATAGTATTTTATATTTTAAAATGAATCCTGTACTGTTTATATGTTTGTCAGCAATTTTTTTCTTGAAATCAAACATCTTTTTCTTTTTTTTTAACATAGTCACTGTTACTTTGGTCATTTACAACAAAATCACAGAGTCAATGTGCACACTACAATCCTTTCCTTAGCTGCATACAAATTTAGGAGAAGAGGTAAGAAAATTGAACAGAGAATAGGCTGCGCTAGAAGTAATTTTGCCCAACACTTTAAATTGCAGCAAAGCCAAAACATTAACCTAAAAACAAATCATGCTCTTAAATAGTCTTGTCAGTTCAGTGGTTAAAAATGGCTTTTAGTAAATGAAGCCTGTAGGTCTTAAAGACCATTCTTCTTCCAACCTTGTGGACTGGAGCTACAGAATCACAATGAAAGAACTGTACCAAATAACCGAAACAATATCACTTGGGGACTTTCAACAGAAACCACAGCTAAAATGGATAGCACATGTCACTCAAGAGATAATAATGACATAATCAAGGTGGTGACATTCAACACTACTACAAAGAAAAGTTTAGGGAGGAAACCACCATTAATATTAGAAAGATTGATAACTGGACTTAAGAAACCTACTTTCCTGAAAAATTGTTTTAAGAAAAGGATTTGATGACTCATCTGAATGAAGCACTCTGCTCGGTCAATGAATGCCAAATGTTTCCTTATAAGGAAATAGCTAATATTACCATAGTATGTGCTTTATCATAGATACATACAAATGTCAGATGTCCTATTCCAAGACTGGCTGCCAACCAAGGCTGAAGAACCCAGCCTGTTCTAATATTTAACCTATAGCTGTGGGGAGAAGAGGTGGATTTATATCCTTCTTAAGGGTATTTGAGCATAAGTGAATTTAACAAATTCAACTGGAATTTGAACTTGACTGATTTCTAATTCCAAACCACTATCCATTACACCACCCACACATCCAATAAAATTGAATATATTCATTGCTTAGTGTTGAATAGCTAGTACATTGCCATAGATATTTATATTTATTTAAATGAAACCAGTGAATGGATGCAGATGTGAGTCAGAAGCGAGATGCAACATGCCACATGTGTTAAGTTCATGAATAGAATTTCTTTATCTCTTTGAGACGCACTTTATTTATCGTAAGTGATCACCTGCAAATTGGTCTACAAATCAAGATTGCTTTATGCTTCTTAATGTTATTGTGCAGTACAGGGCATTCTATTGCTGGTTCAGTCAAATTGCTATTTAGTTTGACCGTTTAAGTCGTGTGACAGGCAGTAATGGAAATCAGAGAGCATCAGAATCAAATGTTATTAATGAATCAAGGTTCATGCATACAAATGAAAATAAATGAGTGGTTTTTTTTAAAAAAATTTTTATGATTCAAAATTATTCAGTTTCAAATTAAAACAAAATAAAATGGGAAATTTCTAAGATAAAATTATTTTAATGATGACAGAATAAAAACAGCAGATCATTTTTTGAAGGAAAAAATTGATATCCAATAGAAAATATTAAAGAAAAAAAAAAAATAAAAAAATAAAAGTGAATTAAAACCTACTCAGGATTGTTTTGCTAATAATGGCTGTTTGTAATCTTTTGTTTTGTTTTTTTTTTTTGCGGTTTAATTTTTTTTGTTGTTGTTCAGGGATATTTTTTTTAAATGTTCTCCAATCAAATCCAATTGACAAGAGCTTGGTGAATTTTCCTGTTTTTTTTTTTTTTCAATAATTACATGCAGCAGAAAAAAAAAAAAGAACCAATTAATAAAGAATATACAGCATGTCACCTGAGGATGATTGGCGAGATGGAGGGAGGAAGTAAAGGATAGTGATAATAGTTAAAAGAACCAAAATTCAAAAATGAGGTTTCTCAAAAAAAAAAAAAAAAATGACCAATATAAAATATTTTCATTTCCTTAAAAAAAAAAAAAAATCCCTAACACTACCTATATAAGAAAACATTATAACCACACTGCACTTAATTTTACAGGAAAATTTATTTTTATTTTGTAATATATATGACGATAATAATGATCCCAATCACCATTTACATTTAACATTATAGTGTCAGGGTAGATACAAATACTGGTCATCTGGGTAAACATTATCCTATCCGATATCTCAGTTTTCAATATGAGACTCAGAAGTATTTTTCAGCCATTTTTTTGTAGGGTGAGGGTAAAGAGGAGACTTATATGCCATCAAAAATGCTATCTTGAAAACAAGGAGACAAAAAAAAAAAAAAAAGGGGTGAGGGGAATATCCAATCAGGAGAGGATAAAAATTTTTCGATGTTTAAAATCTGCAAAGGTGATCTGAAGACAATACCAACAAAAACAACATGATATGCAAATAAAGACAAAAAAAAATGTAATGAAAATAAGAGGAAGACAAAAAAATTTTTTTTCTTTCACAGCAGCAGCAGGACATAATATAATATTGACCATGTGGAAAAAAAAGTGATTCAAAAGAAAAGTAGAAAAAAAAAAAGTAGAAAAAAAAAAAAAAAAAAAAAAAAAAGCCAGGGAAGTTAGCAATACTGAATTGGAAGGTTTTTAAATATCATTTAAGAGATTAATTGAGAAAATACTTGTCAAGAAAAAAAATATACTTGGATATCAACCATAAAGAAACAAAAATAATTAAAAATAAATGAAAATGCAAAACTAAAAAATAATAATAAAAAAAATGTAGGAAATTGTAAGATATTTTAAAAAATAAATAAAAATAAGAATTAATAAAAGTGATATGAACTTATATTTGCATTGACAGAAATTTCTTCTATAGACTAGAGAATTACCCAATGTATAGTGTTTTAATGTTGGGAATATACTTTTGCCATAGTGGGTAACATCAGGTTTAGTAATTTTTGGTCATCCATACTTCAGCTGTCCCAAGAAATGCTGAAAGCAGTCTCAAATCATGTATAGTTAAAGAAAGCTTAAAAACAAAACAAAACATTGTGACATGTCTTGTGCATGACCAACCATCAATAAAATGGTTTTATATAACATCTATTTTTTTTTTTAAAGTTAATAACAACTACTGTAATTTCTGGCCATCTTTCTTTCAGTTGTTGTTTTGTTTTGCTTTTTAATGCAGAATATACAAATTGAATGCTGAAATTTGTTAAACTAATTTTAGGCCAAACACTGCAAAATTTTTAATGATTAAATTATTAAATTTCACTTTTAAGTGCTTATGTTGCATTAGTGATTTTCATTCATCCATAGTGCTATGAACAACTTTCATCCAGCACCTACCAAGAGTGGGCTATTATAAATTTTTCTGTGAGATGAAATCCAAAATGTATCTTTCCTACCTAAAAGGCATGTCTCCAAACTTAACATTAAGCACAAGTTTTTTTTTTCTTTAACAGAACACAGATAAGTGTTCAATTATCAACTTTATTAAGATTATATTCAATATACGTCCATGCTCTTAATGTATTATGGAAATTTTGGCATCTTATTTATTATATATACTCTTAGTATTTGCTGTGCTATTTGAGTGAACAAAAGTTTTGATGGATTTGTTTTATGCTATATGTGTTTTACAATGATTTATTCAGAATGGTATGGTTTGATGTGATCACCTTGTATGCTATGTTACAGGATTTTATTTTAATTACCAAGATTCAAATTTCAAATTGAAACTAATAATTTAAAATGAAACAGCACAAAATTGGAAATACAATCAAATATCAGGCAGCCATTTTGGGAGTCAAAAAATGAAGTTCTGCTTCAAAATTTGCCACCAATTGTTTTTAATGTTATTTTTCAATAGTTGTATTCAGAAGAACAGATTTTGTTTTTACCAAGTTAGATAAGAGGTAGATAAACCAAAATTATTTTCTAAGGTCATTCATGTGTTCAAAAGATATCTCTGTAACATATCCATATATTTACACACACACAAACACATCTATCATGAAGGTATATGATAAGTTATATATCACACATACACACACCAAAAGGTTCTGTGCACAACAGAGGGTAAAAAAATATTTAAATTTAAAAAAAGAGGAAAAAACAAAATTCAAGGATGAAGAGATGCAAACCAAAAATATTTGTGTTTGTAGTTCTTTGTTAACTGCTGCTATAACCAAAAATTAGAGGACAGAGAAAAAAAAATCCTCTTTGTGTACTTTGGCTAAATTTTGAAAAATTGCAAAATTTTTATTTTTATTTTTTTTATTATGGTTTTGAAGCCTCCATGCACTAAAACCTCTTACTTTGATAATTTTTGCATTTTGTTTTCATTTGTTGCAGTCCTTTGCTATTTTTTTTCCTACACCACTGGAGTAGGAAAATGATGGGAAAAAAAACACTTTTTTTTTTTGGCAGAGTTGAGCAAGGGTTATGCAGCAAAAGAATTACAAAAAAAAAATATATTTTTGCAAAAGTTATTAATTAAAATAAAACCAACATAATGAATTATAATGGAAAGATAGGTAAAAAAAACAATTATTTATGGGATAAGGAGTAGTATTTTTTTCATTTTTTTTCCTTTTTTGTAAAAATATACACAATTTTTGAAAATTTTATATATATATATATATATATATATATATATATAAAATCCAGATTTTTTAACTTTTATTTTTTATGGTTATGAAAAGAATTGGCTCAGTCAGAGGAGGGGCCAGAAGTTTGGACAAAAAAAAAAACGGTTGTTGGGTGAGAGATATATCACTTTATGCTGTTGAAAGTTAAAATGTTTGCAGATAACACCACTACTACTCCTAGCAGCAGCAGCATCACAAGCAACAGCAATAGTGACAGCAACTCCAGAAGTGTGCTAGCAGCAAGGCCACTGTCATTGCCATCTTGGTGGTTGTCTGTTAGAGGGCAGGTTTGCCACAACCATGTCAGCAGAGGCAGCAGCAGCACTCTCAGAGTCTTCCTCCTCAAGGTCCTCGCGGCTAGGGTCCTGCAGAGCATTCTGCAGTGCCACTGGGGTCAGCCATTCTTTTGGTATTGCTCTCTCTAGAAATGGTATGCATGAACTCATATACGCCAATCTGTTCACCCAGCTGGGAACAGGTTTGCCACAAAGTGTCTGAAAAAAGAAGAAAAATAGTAGTAGTATCAGTGGTAGGAAGAACTTAATAAATTAAAGTGTTTCAATATAAAATATGCCCTTAAAACACGTAAATGAAAGAAAGGTTAAACACTTTATAATTTGAAATTATACAAGGCCTGCATATAAAACAATCTGTTCTGCAGTCTGGTTTATTAACCAAATTCTTTGTTATCCTAGTACAGTTATAGGCAAACTGTGGCCTGTGTGCCTCATGTGGCTTGTTTGGTCTTTCTGAATGGCTCACTTAATTTCAAAAGGGAAATAATGTTTCATAAAATTTTGTTTTGTTCACATACATAACCACATGCATAATGAATGATTAATACAATTTTTATTGAATTTTGTAAAAATTTGATGAAAATAATGTTTTTATCATTTTAACCTATTGGGGATTTTCACTAAACATCTTTTACTTTTGAAACACAATTAATTTTCTGTAAATAAGAAATATATGTTTTTATTTTCAAATAAGTAAATTAGAAATAAATCATGTGCAACAACATGTTAATCATACTATCATCAGTGATAATATACCAAAACTTCAATTTTTTTTTATTATAGAAAATACTTTTCTCCAAAGGGAAAAAAAAAAAAAAACAAAAAAAAAAACAATCTTTTCTCCAATTTCTAAGGTATATACTTACACACATGGTCTTTGGTAGTGAAAATAGCTGAGTTAATTACTATGAAAAATTACATTGAATCTTTTCAGTAGTGTGCAGCCTGCCTTGCAATGAGCCATGGATCATGTGGCCCACTGCTAAAAGAAAGGTTTCCCATGCAAGCACTAGTAGTTGAAATACATATAGAGGTAATCCATTTCCAGCCCCACCCAAACTTTACATAAAAGCATATAAGGAAAATGGAAAATACACATAAACATCTCAATAAAGAGAGAACGAATAAATACAGAAATAAATTGAAGCACAAACCTGCAGCATCGTAGAATATCACTTTCATTGGAAGAATTATCTCTATGGTCATCAAACAATTGTTTGATCTTTGCATAAATTATCAATTCATTTATCCTATCACTAGCAATTCTTTTTCCTTTAATCCACACCAAAAGCGCATTTTTAATCTCTTCAATAAAATTGCTATGTGATTTACTAAATTTGGTTATTTCTGTAGCAGCCTGAAGATATTTTTGTTTTTTTGATTATGGTTCAGATTGTTGAGTTTTGACATTTCATCCTCCACACAAACTTTGCTAACAGTTGTTCTAATTTTAGGCTTAGAAATTATTTCCTTTTTAATTTTTATGGGAATTATTTTTTTTTGTCCCCCCCCCACTCTTATGTTTATCCATGGTTATGCTTTTTGTGAAAAATATTACGAAAAATATCATTTACAATATAAAACAGGAAAATTGGCTACATTCACACATTAGAATATGAAGTGAGTACAAAAAAGAGATTGAATTAGCATTGAGGATGCTCCCAGTCACATACAACATGCATATGTGTATATGCATGCACACACACACACAGAGCCTACTCACAGGTCATTGTTCAAATTAGTAGCCCATTAAGTTAAATTTTCTTCAAGAAAACTGTTCATTATTCAGTTTGTGTAGTGAACTGCTTTTATATATCTCTACAAGTGAAATTTACAGAGATATAAGGCAGCTGTTCAATTGAAACTGCACACACCAGGTGGACCTTCTGTTGAAACTGGGCATGACAGGCGGACTTCCAATTGAAACTGGATACACATAGTGGCTTTTCAATTGAAATCTGATGCAAAGCACAATAATTATTACCTGAGTGAGGATCGATGAGAAGTGATTGCAGTTTTTGGTAAGTAGATGGTAATGATCTCCACGAAATTCCTTTCCAAGTTCATCAACTATTTTTCGTATATCCATTCGATTGAAGTCTGTAATTCCAATCACAATACTTTCTCTGGAATAAAAAGTAAAATAAATCACATGAAGATATATTGTATTGCAGACAATAAATTGTAGCACATAAAAAATGCTCTCATGTACAGATGGACTCTTAATTATTGGACAAGAAATTGTTATGATCTGCTCCATCTACAAGGTTGATTCCAGTTTTTGAGTTTTTAAACTTCATTATATATGGCATAGCATTTGCATTTACTGGTGAATATTGTTTTCATGTCAAATTAAAAGTTGCTCTTATTCCTTCCCACTGTCCTTTGATTTCCATCTGATAAAAATCATTTTATATGTTCAGGACAATTTTCAAATTTTATCTGAAAATTTGGTTTAGTTGATTTTGTTTAGCAGCATATCAATACCTCACTAGGTTATCTAATGCTGAAACCTAAATATTTGGAACACAATTACTTATTTCTTTAAGGTAGGACATTATGTTGATAGTTTGTGTATTTCCAAATAGTTTTCTCATGTTAGTTTCCCTATAATATTTATGTCTTACAGGTGCTAAGTACATTCAATTAATTGGTTGGTTGATTTAGTTTAGCGACATATCAAACTCTATGGGTTATTTAATGATGAAATCTAAATATTTTGTACACAATTCTATGCGTTCAACTACAGATATTTTGTACATAATTTTATACTTTCAGAGCAAACGTGTTTTTTTTAGATATATATTTTGTAGATCATAAAAATTACTGTTGGTAATTTTACTATAAAAACGTATTTTTATACTATTTTAGTGTTGTATCAATTCTCATTTTGCTATAAAAATATATTGGTCATTTTATTATAAAAATGCATCATCAGTAATATTTTTTTTTTTTTTTTTTTTTTTTACAAAAATGTATTGCTTGTAATTTTACTATAAAAAAAAAAAAGTTTTGATTTTTGTTTGGTGGTCCACTATTTGCCCATAGCTGGAACCCCAAGAGGTTCTACCACCCCTGGTCATGGTTGACCTGAGAACAACAGCAATTAAAAGATGGTTCCACACTCCTTAAAATCTCCAATTTCCCGATCAGAGGCCTCGCTGCTGGACGTAGTTTATCATCATACTTAAGGCTACTGAAAATTTGGCTTAAATACCCCAACATATATATGAATCTATACAGTACCTGTTACCTGTAATCATTTTAATGCCCAAAGATCATCCACTTTGCTAGACACAATTTTGTTTGTCTTAAAAATTCATTTATATCTGTATAATTATGGTTTTTGAGAATGTGAATAGTTTGCATAAACTGAATATGGTATGAATGTTAGTATGGAATCATTATAAAAAAAAATGCTAGGTTCATTTTAACAGACCTGATAGGACTAATCTGAACGAGATGGAGATTATGTTGTCTTAATTAAAAAAATAAAAGAAAAAACAAAGATATAAGGATCAAATTCCTTGAACTATCATAGAATTTAGCTTTTGTATTTCTTATGCAAAGAGATGATAAATTAAAGAGGATTCAATTTTAAGGTACCAAGAAATTAGTTTATCTCCCTTGAAACGTTCAAACTGCCCCCAAGCTGACTACCTCGGGGGAGGATAATTTTCACTGTCCTGCACTGAACATTATGACCTTTCAGCAACAGTCAGGATAACTGCTATAATATATCTGGTTGTCAGGAAATTTCTAATGGAATTTAATGTTTTACAAACTGAGAATTTTCCTTTCAACCAGACATATATGGATGGGCAGAAAAATTCATAAGCTGGCTATGAAGGAGTGATGCTAGAACTGTGAAATTGCATGCATTAATTTCAACTCTTCTTATTAATAACTACATTGTTTCTTTCCAGGTAAACTACTGACATCTGATTGTTCAAAGAAAACTTTGAAAATAACTAGTAGTGACTTCTCTTGAAGGTTGCTACATTTGAGGATGATGGCCCAGCTTTATCAAGAGTGCAAAAATGGGCAGCTGAATTTAGGAGAGAAAGGTAGAGCCTTGAAGATGACCCAAAGTCTGGATGTCCTACAACTGCCACCACTGAGGAAAACATTGATCATGTTTGACTATAAATTAAATAGCCAATACTAGTAGCATATCCTATGAGATACTTGAGAACATTCTGCACAATGAATTTGGCATGATGAAGGTTTCTGCTCGGTGGTTGGAAAGTCTTCTGTCATCTGATCAAAAGTGCACATCATGGGAAAATCTGATATTGCTTGAGGCAGATCCTGCTGGTTTCCTTAAATGGAAGAAAAATATTTTATTCATAGTAATTGAAACCATAAAACATGCCATTTAAGAAACAATGATGGAATTTTCATTTTTTTAAAATTACGTTCTGTAGATGGCGTCCTCCTGTACGAATGCATGACCCCAAAAAATCTGTTGTTGAATTCCTCATTGACTGCTGCAACATCTCAGCTGGGATACTGTGAATTTCATCTTGAATTCTCCGTTTTAACTCATCCAGAGTTTTTGGTCGAGTTGTGTAAACAGTATCCCAGCTAAGATGTTGCAGCAGTCAATGAGGAATCTCAACAGCAGATTTCAAGAATGCATTCGTACAGGAGGACGCCATCTACAGGACGTAATTTTTTAAAAAATGAAAATTCCATCATTGTTTCTTAAATGGCATGTTTTTGGTTTCAATTACTATGAATAAAATATTTTTCTTCCATCACTCTTGGCTTTATTGGATTGTTAAAAAGTTCCCGTTTTTTGGGGGTCACTCTATATAATTAAAATGAAAGATTGTCTACATGTGCTTCTTATAATATGTTTGAGATTTTGTAAATTTTACCTTCTTTCCAGAACTTAATCAGTTCTTTTTGCAAATTTGTCAATTCTTTACCTCTTGCCATGATGATAACCTTCTTGCACGAATATCAATTACAGAATGTGCTGTTTGTATTTTTTAGCCTAAAAATAACTACTGATAACATTAATGAAACATTTTAGAATATTCCATTTGAATAATTTAGAGTATTAAAGCAATTTAAAAGTTTTAAAATCTGAAATTTGCATTGTATGAATAGTTTTTTTCACTCATTAAAATAGATAAATGGCATTTATTTCTATTCAATAAAAAATTTTTGTTTTCTATGCATATTTAGTTGTTATGCATCTGTGTACAGTTAATTATATGAAAAGTATGTTTATTCACAAGTCTGAAATACAATAAATTAAAATGTTGTAGGTGTACAAATATTTGTTTCCCCTAATGTGTGTGTGTGTGTGTGTGTGTGTATATATATATATATATATATATATATATATATATATACACACACACACTGCGTATATTGTTTTCCTGAAACTTAAAAAGACATACCAAAAATGAACATTAGTAAAGCTTTCACAGTAACAAACTAATTGTCAGATGCTCAGAATTTGTAGCTCTATCTAAAGGATATAGAGCACTGTATAAAAAAAAATCATTAATCTGTATTTGGCTGAATTGTATTTAAGTTGAATGTTTAACAGTTTATAGTGTGTGTGTGTGTGTGTGTGTGTGTGTGTAGTGGGCTGAAAAAAATTCTTGGCCCAATCATGAAAGGATTAAAGAAAAACCTGATGTTTGTATAAAATAATAGAAAATAGAACTATGTTATTTTTAACAAATGTCATTATTTATCTCAAATTATTCTGAGCTTCTAAATTGATGGGTCTTAGTTTTGTAATTTACTTGTACTTATAAATTATTAAAAACAAATATATCCAATATCTCTTGGGATACTGAATATATATAAATATATTATTTAGGAGGGAAAATAGTTTTTATCCCGGAAAATTAATTTTTTATCAAGTGAGATTCACCGTTTTTTGAGCACCTCCTGCCACAAGTAAACTGGTACTGGGTTTTAGAAAAGTGACAATTGAACTCAATAAATGATAAAAATTCTAACCAGTCTGAAAAGCAGTGATATTTCTTTGGAACCACATCACCAAGTAGGTAAGAGGATGGAAATTGAACATTGCATATCAGACCAGGATGAGGTAAATTTATATGTCTAATATTTTTGTCTTTTAGGATTTCCTTCCTTATCAAAGCACTTTTATCAAACAACTCTCCAGTGATCACACTGAGTTAACATTATATAGTGAAAATTTAAGATCAAAAGTAAGCTAATACTTACACATCAAGCTACAGACTTAGTGATCTTTGCCAATTAGATGAATTAAGTTTAGCTTAGTTGATATCAGGACAAGTCTATATGATGACACAATCACATCCGGTTAAAATTTAAACTTTGAAGAGCTATAGCAATGACATGTTTGTAAAACATTTCAACAACCAGACAACTTACTTAAATTTGAATTGTTCACCAAGTTCTTTTGCTTCTTTTGGCGCCATATCAAATATTCCTGATACAGGAAACGGATGGCCTCCGTAGGCATATTCTGCAAAACAAAAATAATTATAAAGGCAAATAAAAAAAGAAGAGTCACATCATAGATTTCAATTTGAAATTAAACTTTTACATTAATGGTTTGCATTTTGTGAAGTCTTGCCATTATTCCAAGAAATAACTGATCTCTTTCTTTTTGTTGCTTTTATGAATACCACCATGCCTCAGCCAGTCTATTCTATAGCCTTCTTCAGATATACAAAGATGAAATCTGTAATTCTGAGAAGTCATTATTATTCCCAGATTTACTCAAACAGCTGAGTTCATTTTATTTTATTTTTTTTTTGTTTCAAACACGATGTTTTTGCTTTTTCCAGGCTTCAGTTTCTCAATGTATATAAAAGACTACCTCATTACTGACAGGCATTAACTGGTGTATTAGTAAGAAAAAAAAATAGAGATCCTTTCTCTTCATCCAGATTGTACATCTGAGAAAGGGTTTAAAAAAAAAAAAAAAAAAAGAGGTCAGTTGAAATGTTATGAAAACACTTCCAATAGTTGAGACAATTCTTGGAATGATATTTGTAAAACAACTGTTTACACACACACACACAAAAAACCTGCATATATTACTGATTGAGGTGTAAAGTTACACCCAGATAGGATATTTAAAATATTATCAAAAGATAGAAAGTAGAAAGAAAAAAAAAAAAACAAACCCTAAAACACATACAATCCAAATTTCTTTTTGATAGTGCACACAAAAGTTTTTAAGTTCAATATTTCATTGTGTATACATTTTATTCAAATATACAAAAAAGTGAAATCTATTTCTTATAACTCCACCTGGGATGTCATAGGTATGTTTGAAAAAGGTTAGTACAAAGTTTGAAAACTGGTAAGGGCAAAAATAATTTGAAGCTGAAGACTAGAGAGAAACCAGACATCCTTTTCTGTGACAATCAGCTGTAATTTTTATAATTATTATTTTGCATTTCTGGCGAGGAAACCTTCAATGGTGGGAGAGCCATCTGGCTAATTTATGGGAATATGGAGATAATGAAATGGTCATTGTGAATTGTCATTTTCTGGGCCTGGCTAGATAAAGTGAAGTCATTAATCATTGTTAGTGGAAAAGATTTCCCTATATAAAGCTAGCATGCATTTTACTTGGCAGCCATTTTCCGTGAGGAGGAGAAATTGTTGTAGCATACCTACCTAATGGGTTATATCCCCATTCACATAAATACAGTAGTAAATACTGTATGTTGGTCTGCAGTTGGAGATTCGTCTCCAGCTGTGCTGGTCAAACTGACTACGGGCAGAGAGGATCCCCAGACGAGGCTATGTCAAAGGGCAGAATTTCATCTGGGGGAAACAGCTACCTGACCCTGTTTTATACAGGGGTCTACAGGGAATTTTGGGGCAAGCCTATGGGCTCGGATACCCCACATTGAATTCAGCCTTGTGCCACATCTGATCACATAGGGTGGTTGGTAGATGGTTGCAGTTGGAGATTCATTGTGGAATTCACTTGACTCACTTCTAGCAGTTGTCTACTACTCCTATGCGCTGCTGGTGAATATTATGTGTTATTCTTGTCCTAAATACTACCGTTTATTATCAACCTTCATGTGATTATTCTATTCAGTAACCTTCCCCAGGTTACAACAGAAACAGACCAGGTTCAAGCATACCCACCTTTTGCTGAACACACATACACAGTGAATACAAAGAGAATCGTCAGATGTCATTTCATAGAAGTTAAATCTTGTAGACTTATTTTTTGTCTTCACATTAAATTATGTTAAGTTTACAGAACGCTTTTGGTTCGTTTATCAAAGTTATTCTCCTCCTCCCTGCTGCATATTTTTGATGGGGTAATTTTTTTCAAGTAGTGAATTAAAAGCACAGCCCTTCTAAATATTAAATCGATTTTCTCATTAATCCAAGTTAGCCCAGCATCACTTAGAAAGTAGCCCCCAAAAGTCACAAATAGCCAAATTCAAAATTTAGCCATATTGAACTTTCAAAATCTTTATAAATTTGTTACCAAGTTCAAACCTTTTAACTTAGCTTTCCTTGTTCCAGATCCTGGTCAGATTAGCAATTCCAAATTGATGTCGTGAGACTTTAAAATACAGTAATGCCTTCTTGAGATACGTTGTTTAATTTGTTCGAAGACTGAGCTCGTAACTCAATTCAATTTTCCCCATTGGAATTAATGGTAATATTTCTGAACTGTTCAAAGCCCCTAAAAATCACCCGTATTTTCCTAAAACTCACTCTTATTTTTGTATTTATGGGTTTTTTACAAGCAAAAACATGTGAATAAACAAGAAATGTAGATTATAAACAATAAAATAAGAGGAAAAACTGTATAGAAATAAACTGTACTAAACCATGAAATTTCAAACAAGTCAACGGCCAAGTGGCAGAGAGAGAGAGAGAGAGAGGAGGAGGAGGGGACAACAACAGCTAGCCTAGCAACCAATAGCCTAGCAACCAATAGCCTAGCAATGGCTAGCCTAGTGTACAATACCAAAGATTAAGTTTATCATTGAATTTTTAAATTTTTTTTTTTTTTTTTTTTTTTTTAAAACATTTACATTTTATCCATTACTGTAACTAATTTTTTAAAAAGTTTTAAAAATGTTATAATTCTTTATTCATCAATGTAGAATGCATGTACTGTCTCACCAAATACATGACTTGTATGTTTTCCTCATGCTTTTTTATAATTTCCTGCTTTACCTCAAGTGAAATCATACATTCTTTTCATCACTGCTCTTTACACTTTCTTCGGATGCATGGTGTCAGTAAAGGAATTTTGCAAAATAACGGCAAAAAAGACACAACAGTAACACAACAGAGATCCTTCCAGAGCGAAGTGAAAATGTGTACAGCGAGTGGAAATACTGCACCAACTAGTGAATACGTAACTGAAACTTGCTCATATCTCAAAATTCAGCTTGCATCTCAAGAAAGGAAAAAAAAAAAAAAAATTGACTGAATTCTGGCTTGTATCTCAAAAAATTTGCATGTTGGTACACTCATATCTCAAGGCATTACTGGAATTAATTACCAGTTTTTTTTTTGTTTTTTTTTTTTTAAATTAACCTTTTTATCAAATTATTTCTTTTTATATACATTTGGGATTTTTAAATGAATTTTTCTTTATCCAATATTATCTCTTATTACCAGAAACATTATTTTTAGTGGGTACACATGATTGAGTCGACAGTCTTGTTTTTTTATCTTCTCAAACAGTAAAATTAATGTCAACCGGTCTAGATCGAGAAGTCCTCCAAAAGAAAAAGATACCTCTCAACAGTAAACAAAACTGTATGCTCTTTTTCCATTGGGGAAACCACTCCTATGGCTGAAGCATGCCTTTACCAATTAGGCCATAGGCGACTGTTCTGATAAGGCAAAGCTCAATTACCTACTTAAAGAATGCACACTTCGCATTGAGACTTTTGTTTTTAATCTATACATGCTAACATTATTTTTGTACCTGAAATGTAAACAGAGTAATTTTTAAATTGGATTTTTTTTGATTTGACATTATTTTTATTATAAATATTATTTTTAGTTGGTACATGTTTGGGTTGACATCCCTGGTTTTTATTTTCTGAGACAAAAGAAATAAATGTCAACCAGTCTAGACTGAGAAGTCCTACAGAAATCAAATCTAAAACAAAGATGTCAAATCAAATGTGTTTATGTGCTAAAATAATGTTTATAATAATAAGAAACACTTGAAATTAAATATTTGGCTTGGCTAACAAAACAAAAATAATCTCAAAGAAGATAGTATTTTTAAAAACTGTGTCATCTATGCAAAATATTTGGAAAACTGGTTTAGATTATCAAATGTCATCACCAGGTTCAGTACAAATAAAATACTATTCACCCTTTTAAGTAATTATTTAGCTTAATGTGAGTGATGGCTGTTAGCTAATTTTTGTAGCCTAATTAGTAAGGCATTGTCCATGTTAGACAGCCTTCCCAAGATCTAAAATACTGTCAGAAGTTTGTTCTTTATTTCTGGTCCATGTTATTTAGTGTTTTTTAAATGTTAAAATGACATAAGAGGCGCCAAAAATCAGATAAAAGAAAAATCTAGTAAAAAATTAATAATAATTCATCTAAGAAATTTGGATATCTTAAGGCACCACCTATGACAACAAACTAAGATAAAAGAAAAACTAGTCAAAAATTACTAATATCAAACTGTTTTGTCCTGAAAAACAAAAACTAACAGTGTGTAATAATATACTAAGACATCTTAAAATGGTGAATATTTTAATTAGAATAGTCCCCCCACTTAGCATCGGGAGGCACAATGTGCGACAATTTAATTTCTGGAATGATCACAGCATATCAATGGGGTAACGAGTCAGGCAAACATTTGTACCTGAGCATTTCTTAAGAGAGAGACCAGATGAGTCATTCATTGCTGAGCAGTAGAGGAAGATATGTGTGTTCATGCTATATAGAAAATGAGTGACAAGAATCTGGAGCAGCTTTTTGCGTGAAGATTGGTAAAAGTGCAAATTAACCTATTAAAAATGGCTTATAGGGAACAAGCCATGAAAAAATAGAGGGTTTTCAAGTGGCATGGACAAGGAACAGTATGATGTATATAATGAGGCAAGAAGTAGACAGCAAAGAACAAATGCAAATGTTTATTTGGACATGCTGAAAGGGTTACAAGAATCTGTTCAGTGGGAAAGACACCAACAAGATGAGCACTTTGAAAGTGACAACAGCCAATAGTGACAAGGTAAGCAAACTTTGCCTTCACAGGACCAGGCAAAGAATCAAAATGTTACATCTTGCATGCTCCCAGAGCCTCAGCAAATGTTTAAAACTGGATTATTGTACCTCTTTCAATACCAGTTGTTATATTTAATGCATGAATGTAGATACAAATGACATAGGCATTAGCAGACAGAAATAGAATGGTATCTGTGTTGGTGTTTTTTTATATATATATATATATATATATATATATATATATATATATATATATGTGTGTGTGTGTGTGTGTGTGTATGTATGTGTGCCTATATATATATATATATATAAAAAACTTTGTATCACGCTTTATTGCAGGTCACATTTTGTTGATACTTTGAATATGAAACATTGTACAAAAAATGAAACCTTGTACACCGAAAGATTCTAAATAAGTACGTATGCAGTGAAAATTTCAATCATATTCATAAGCTACATACAACATTATGTTAAGCTATGTATTTAAAGTGTTTTTAATTGTGCCACACTTTATTGCAGGTGTACAAGAATGCTATTGAAATAATGTCTGACAGTTACAGAAAAGAAATGGAATGTTTCAGGTCTCACAGAAGGCTTATCTTTGGGTGAATTATTGATGTCATATGTAGAAAACCCTATAACCAAACCAAGACCGGATAAAGGAATGAGAAAAAGCGTATCCCAGCATGACATTCGAAAAATATGTAGACAAGTGAAAAAAAGACCTTGGTAGCACAAGTGCTGCCATATTTGAATGTGCTGGGGGGTTGCTCCTTTGTCTCGAAACACCCAGTGTAGGATTCTTAAAGAGACAGTAAGAAGTGTTAAACCTATCATCAGATCAACCCTAAACAAGACCCACAAAGGAGAAGCATATTGCTTGGGCACAGCAATATATGAAGACCAATTTCCAAGATATTCCCTTCATGGAAGAGGCCAGAGCTACATTGGATAGCCTTGATGGATGGGCCAAACCTTGGGTACCACTTGGAGCCTCTTGCCTGCATTGCATTCAACGTCAACAAAGAGATAGTGGTGATGTGTTTTGTGCTGGCATCATAGGAAAGGAACTTGTCGGATCTTTTCGAGTGCCAGAATTCACCAGCAATTCCTGCACTGCATTTCTGGAGAATTTTTCAGTATGGTTAGATGATTTGCCACTCTCATGTAGATGGATGGTTGACTTTTATACATGACAATGCTCTATTGCATTCTTCAAAAGCTACAATTTCGTACCTAGCAACATTGGGATTCAAAGTACAAACACATGACTTAGCCTCCTTGTTCTCCTGACCGTAACCCTATCGAGCAGCTCTGGTCAATCTTGAAGAGGAAAGTTTATGAAGGAGGTGCACAGTCTTCATTGAAGGATGCCCTGTGGGAAAAGATCAGAACTGTTGCTGAACACCTCAAATTAGTCGGCTAACAGCTTATGTGGACAAAATACTGTTTGATGTAATTTCTAAACATGGAAGTTACGTAGACAAATAAAGTACATCACCAGCAATCTAATTGTGTTTTTTCTATATATTTTGCTTTCATTCTTTAGTCACGTGCTTCATTACTACAATAAAATGGTAATATAAAGATAATAGCAGGTTCCATTACCTTAAATTGACATTTTTGTCCACCTACAATAAAGTGTGACACAGCTGAAAACACTTTAAAATACATAATGTTGTATATAGCTTATCAATAGGATCGAAATTTTCATAAAGCATGATATACACACACACACACCCCCCACTCTCTTAGGTTTTCTTCTTTAGTCAGCTATTGAAATTCAGCACAATCTGTGTACATATCAACCAGTACATCACTAAAAAACAAAATATAACTATCAACATAAGACAAATATTAGTGGATAATACAAAAATCAATGGTACCTAGACTTTATGAATTTAAGCACAGTACTAGACTGGCAAGAAAGTCTCACCATTTTGCAGTTGAATTGGCCGCTAGATGTAACCGTAAGTCCTATGCTAACAGTTTCTTTTCTCTCCTTCTGGAACACTTCTCCAGTTTCTTGTTTTACAGTCAACTTTAATCTTCAAAATTTAAATGCAATGTCAGTCATTATCTAGCATTTCTGATTAATCTTCTATTGTTTTCTAATTCTTTCACACTAAGTAACCCCTTGTGTCTAAATGGCTTTACTGCCTTGCATGGGGTAAATAATTATATATAAAAAAAAGCAGGTCAATGGTTTACAAGTAATTCTTAACTATACACTGACAAAAAAAAAAAAAAAAAAAAAATGTCTAAAGGAGATAATTTCAGGTCTAAAATTCCTATTACAAAGTTATTTTCCTGAGGGGAATATGCAAGGATTAATCTTTTACCTGTCTATACTTCTCTTCATCAGTGATTATAACAAATCAGCAATGATAATTTAATAATCATAAGCTTAATGCTAATTAGCATTTGTAAATAATTCTATAAATTCTATAAATTGAAATGACTTTATATAGATTGGAGGCTGCTTGAGAAAGTTTAAAAGGTTTAGAAAAATAAATACAAAACCAAAAAACAAATTACTGAATCAATTTTTAAAATGAGCCTTCCCTGTTTAGAAAAGGATGAACTTACCAGATCCATAGATTTCCACTCCTGAGTGAAACACTCCTAAACCCAAGGAAGATGTATACTCATTGATCCAATACTAGAGGGGAGAAAAAAAAGAAAAAAGTCAAGTCAACAAAACAATTACGATAAATAATCATCAATAAAAAAAAAAAAATAAAAAAATAAAAAAAAGATACTAGAAAGCCAACATCCGCTCAAACATAAATGTCATAACCTTTTTCAAAGACATGCCAGAGAACATTTCTTATTCAGTGACATCCAATCTCGTTACTGCCACCTTAATTTATCATTCATCATTCTTCACTTGTTAATTGTTATTTTATTTATGCTTAATTAACCAGTGAAATGGTTCTATGGTCAAGGAGTGACCATAAGAGTTATTCAGCTGCCACAGGAACAAGATGGACATAGATGAATACAAGGATAGTTAAGAGAACTAATCTGGTTCATTTTCCACTTTTATGCATTTTCTCAGAGTATTAATAATGATTTGGCAATAGCTGTGCAAGGAATGTGGTAATTAAGGTCTTCCATATTTCTGTCTTTACAAATAAAGCAGTGTATTTATTGAAAAGTTTGAAGCACTTTAATGTCTGAAGTTTATTCATAATCAGTTAAATATTTTTTGTTTAATTATTTATGATAGCTGGAATTTCATGCATTTTCTAGAATTATTTAAAAAAAAAAAATTTTTTTCAAACTGTGTGAATTAAAATACAGGAGCTTTATATATATATATATGAGAGAGAAAAGAAAAAAGTAGCTCTGGAGAAGACTTGTAGTGAGAGCCCACATGACACAACTAATATTTTCAGTGTTTGTATTGATGCTATTTGCAACCTAAAAGAGAGAGCTATGGACTTGTGTCTAATCTGAAATAACTTGCTCCAATTTTCTGCAGTTTAATATGAAGCCAAATAATGTGTCTGTCCAAAAGCATTGTGATTAAAATAAACAAAGATGAAGAAATTTTTTTTAAAGTTTGGAATAGAAACAAAGATTTTTATCTCAGAATAAGAACATGTTCAGTGCCAATGTGTTTGTGCTTTTTTTTCTGATGTATGTGGACTGAGAATCCAACTAAATAGCATCATTTGACAGCTGGTATTAGCCACAGCAGTGTGCAGAAAAAAAAATGAGGACAATGTGGAAATTTCAAGAATGAGGAGGTTATGCAATTAATGCAAATATTAATAAATGATCCACTGTATTAAATAAACATTCCTGATGATGCAAATATATAAAACTAAGTTTCATGAGAGTGGGCTGAAAAGTTCATAGGCTGGCTATGACAGTAATGCTAGAGCTGGGAAATCTTGCTTGCACTAATTTCAACTTCTTATTAATAACTGCATTGTTTATTTCCAGGTAAACTGACATCTGACTCTTCAAAGAAGATTTCAAAAGTAACTAGTAACAACTTCTCTTGAAAATGGACAAAATTTGGCATCATGGTATTATCAAGTACCTGCAGAAAAAGGGTTTAGTCCTCAAGAACATTCATGCTGATGTGGTTGCTACATTGTGTTGATACTCCAACTTTATCTACAGTGCAAATGTGGGCAGCTGAGTTTAAGAGGAGAAGGGAGAGTCTTGAAGATGACCCAAGGTCTGGGTGTCCTTTGACTGCCACCACCAAGGAAAACATTGATAGTATTCACCACATGATGATGGATGACAAGCAACTGATTATTAATCAAATAGCCAATGTTATTAGCATATCCCATGAGAGTGGAGAATATTCTGCAGAAGGTTTCTACTTTGTGGGTGGCACGTCTTCTGTCATCTGATCAAAAGTGCACCAGTCTGATTACATCACAGGAAGATCCGACACTGTTTGAGGCAGATCCAGCTGGTTTCCTTGAATGTTTCCTAACCCAGGATAAGTGTTGGATTCATCACTTTGAGCCAGAGACAAAGAGACAATCCCTGCAGTGGAAACACTCCTTCTCGCCCACTCCTAAGAGCACCAAGATTGTTTCCTCTGCATGGAAAAGGAAATGCTTCAGTTTTTTGTGATGAAAAAGGCATTGTGTTTATTGTTGATGGTTCAGGAGAACAAACAAAGTTCGGCCAGTGCTTGATTACAGGGAATTGAACAATTTTGTGGAAGTGTTCACTGTTGACACAGATGTGTGTGCCTAGAAGTTGAGAGAATGGTGGTAGCAGGGAGTGAACATGTCCCTAGAAAAGCTTACGTACATATATATGTTGACAAGGCATTGTGGCCCTATCAAACTGTGCTGATCAAGGGCAAGAGGCATTATTCAATTAGGATTTGGCTTAAATGTTGCACCTCTCATTATGAGGGCTATTATCAACTTGGTTATGTCCCATTGACAGTTAAGAAAACTAATCTGGTTCATTTTCTACTTTTATGCATTTTCTCAGAGTATTAATAATAGTTTGGCAATAGTTGTGTAAGGAATGTGGTAATTAAGGTCTTCCATAGTTCTGTCTTTACAAATAAAGCAGTGTACTGATTGAAAAGTTTGAGGGACCATCTGTCCAATTATGGATTTAGTTGCAAAGACCCAGAGAGACTCAAAGACAAGACCAAAGTATTGGGTCCACACGTTTGGGAGGAGAATGGTACTCTCCAATGGAAGCAAGGAAGAAAAGTCCCAGACCTTACTTGTTGAAGCATATTTTCTGTGCGGAGGACTTGTGGGACACTTTCCCATGTGTGGCTGGTTAAGAATACCAACCACCTATATCAAGTGACAAGCAAATGCAATGTTCAAGGGATAGGATGACACAATTGAAAATCCCTTCATCTGTCACATGCTGAGACAGTAACCAGAGTACATGAAATGGATCCTAGTGGTGGGGACTGGTGTGTAGGTGGTCATGAAATGAAGGTATGTTCTTTGGCCTCAAGAGTGGCATTGGAAGTGAAGGAGGCATTGTTGAGGATGCTTGTTGACTGTGCCTAATAGGAAATGCCAAGCATATTAATTTAGCAGAACTAAACACAATGATAAAAGGCATCAATCTGGCCATCCAATGGCAGATGATGGTCTTGCACCTGGTTACCTACTCTGCATGCATTCACTTGATATCAAGTACCCTGACTAGCAAGGCATGTGTAAAAACAAGGGCAGCCAGTGAGATGTTAATAAGACAACAGTTGGAAACACTGTGTACTGGTTGATGAGTATGCATTGACAATGGATGTTTGTTCAAATCTGCATTAAATTGAGCAGACTGCTTCACCAGTGTGCCCCAGATGCGGTTGGCAATGCACAATGAAGAAGCTGAACCTGTACAACTAGGAAGCATCACTGTAACAAAGTTGAGTGAGAGTCAGGTAGCTAATATCCACCAACAAAGTGGGCACCCAGGTGTGAAGAGGATACTGTATTTTGCCAGGTCTGTCAACCCTTCAGTATCATCAACAGTCACAAAGTCAGTCATCAAGAATTGTAAAGCTTGCCGTGCCAGTACACTGGTAGAAAGGAAAACTGGGAGGGAAAAACAACTGGAGTAGGTTAGCAATGGATACTACATACTACAGCAATGGACACTTCCTAACCCTTATTGATTGTAGACCATCTCGATTTGCAATATGGAGACCGCTTTGTCAACACTGCATCATGTCAGACCTAAGGATAACCTCTCCCTGTCTATAGCACAAGCAGCTACAGGGGTCCATGTCTGTGTATAGGGCATTGATATGAAGTTTCCAACCAAACCATGGAATACTCAAGGAGCATATGAGATGGGAGACATTGTCTGGGTTAAGATTCCACAAGGGAGGTGTACAACCAAGTTTAAGATGGGCACCATCAATCAAGGTAAACAGTTTGCAGTCAATAGAGACTGATGGAATTCCTCGTCATGTCAAGGACTTTAGTCCCTTTCGGAGGTCGTATCCTCTATCTGAACAGGTGATTCAACAGAAAGTGAGCTATTAGTCAACTTGAGATTGACTTTGCCAGGCAATTCTCCTGATACCAGTAGCAGCAGCATCTGGTGCAGGAGAACTCAATGGTGATTCATCTGAAGACAAAGCTTATGTTGCTCCCCCTTGGAGGATTACCCAGCAGAAAAAGCTTCCCCATGGTTGCATTTGCTGTGACCATGAGATCAGGGGGAGTGTAGTGAACTATTGCAGAGGGCAAAAAGGTCCAGGGTTGCATGCACTTTTTGCAACACTAAGAGAAAATGACTTGCTTCCAGAGCAAACAATGATTTGAGTGTGCCTCACATGAAAACTGCCCAAAGAGGTAAGAAATGGCAACTTCATGGGTTACACATTTAAAAAAGGATCTCAGAGTCAGATACTTTCTCACAAGATTATCTTTTCACATATAAATTTTAGCTGTCATTGAAGAAATAAAAATGGATAGAATGAGGTGACAGGCAGAACGGTTTACTGCTGTTTTGAACAGGCCACACTTGATGTGGTCAGTAGTGCATTTGAGAGGAAACAGATTGTGGGAATTGTTTACAAGAAAAGTTTACAACCTTTTAGCTACAACCATAATGCTCTATTGTCCAGCATATAGAAGTAGTCAAGCTACCACCTAATGAAGAGTTAAAAGTTAACAAGCAAATCCTATACAATAGTTATAAAATAACCGCATTTTGGCCTATAATTATTTCAACTCAATACCGTTCAGGATGATTTAAAATATAAATCATTCCCACTTATCCAATAATTGTTAAGATAACAGAATAAACTGAAAATACCTGACCTTGCTATTCATAATGCCCCATAGACCAACATAGATAAATAAGTGAGCTACCGCCCAAAACACATGGTTTGAAGATTGCATTCAAATATGAAACAGACTGTTGTGATTTTGTGATGACCTCAGTGTCTATTCTTTATATATATATATATATATATATATATATATATATATATATGAGAGAGTTATTGATATATTTAAATTTTAGATATATAAAGAATTCCATGTATTGTAATAAAGATATAACCTTGAAAGAGAAACCCAATATCGTGAAGTTATTGAATGACAGGAAAACAACGCTGGAGATTGCAGAAAGGTGAACAGAAATCAGAAAACAAAAAGGAAATTAAAATATATTGGCAAGATAAGAAAAAATTGGCTTTAAAAATATCTCAAAAAGAGATAAAAAGGGTGAGAAAAATGGATTGACCAGTAAAAAAAAAAAATCAAGTAGTTGCTGTTGTGAATGTAAACAAAGAGAAAACCTTCAAAATATTAAGAACATATAAAGACATGAAAACTATCACCTTTAAGTAAACATCACAAAGAGAAACATGTAACTGAAGTAAAACATGAAAACTGATTTCTTAACAGTAATCTTTAGTAATAAATGTTGAGCTACGGGACAGACATGATGGCTGGGTGAAAGGTAGTAATAGTTTGGGTTGATATTGCAGGCAGTAAAACTAAATGCTCTTTCAAAGATAATGAAAATTACAGAGAATTATTGTAAGTTCTTGAACAAGATTTTCTTTTTAGTAGTACAGGTCACAACTAATAAGCTAAAGAATATATTCAATGTTATTTGAATGAAGACTACTCTTTTTGATTCTGTGATGTGACCTCTTGCCACTTCTGTTTAACTGAAGACTGGAATGTATAAATGATCGGCAACTGAGTATCTTCAATAATGTTTGATTTGTGTAGTCAAGTCAAAATCATTGTGAGTGACACATTGTGGAAGATGTTTAAATAAGCAGAAGTTTTTGTTACAGCTACAAGAGGAAAACAAGGTGCATCTTATCTTGGCTTAGAATGTAACAACCTTCTCTAAATATTAACATTAGCAACTAAAAGAACAAAAGGAGACCTCTATAATATATCAAACCCAAGATGAATTAAACATGCAAGGCTTTATATAGATTGTCTTTCATCTCCCTTACATTTTTAACTGTTTATATTATCCAACTTTATTCAGGTTAGGCTCAGTTGTTTTCTTTCATTTGAACTTTTTGAAAATCATTTTGATCAGTTTATTACATACATCAATCTTTCACCATAAATAAGAGGTGTCCTTGGTGCTCAGATTCAGAGGTATTATCTTCCAAACAAAATGTTGGCTATGGAACTGAAAAAAATACAAATTTAAGTTGTCTAAATAGATATAAATCTTTAATTAAAATAATATTGTGATGAGGAAGGGGAGGATAATTATATTTGGCTTTCCTTTGCCATACAGAGAAGAAAAATCCCACAATGTTTTGACTTTTTTAAACTAGAGTAGCCAACAAACAAGAGAAAGAGGGAAAAAAGAGAAGGAGGAGAAAGAGGAAAAAAAGGAAAGAGGGAAAAAAGAAAGAGGAAAAAAGAAAAAAAAAGGAAGAAAAGAAAGAAAAAGGAAGAAAAGGAAGAAAAGAAAGAAAAAAAGAAAGAAAAAAAGAATAATAAAATAAAAAAGTATAATGGCTTTTCAAGAGTCCCTTGAATTTCCACTGGATGTCACATAACTGAAGGTAAGAGAATGGTACCCACCCAAGCCATTGGTTTTGATTAATGTTAGAATGCTTAATATTTCACAACAATCCATCGATAACAATAAAAATGAAAACAATAGTCTGCATGTAAAAAAATGATAACTTTGAAATTCAGACAGAAATCAACCCAGTCATAATTATGGTGCTATCTCTTAAATAAGATTGAACCTGTCAACTTTACAGACAGTAAAATTGATGGATACTTTCAGCTGAATGTTTTTAGGCCTTTTGAAGCTCAGAGTAGGATAAGTATTGTTGGATCATGTTAAATTATTTCATCAAAAAAAAAAAAAAAAAAAAAAAATTTACAAAAACAGAGTTATCTGCCCCTATCTCTGACTAATTTCTGGTCTAGTTTGAGAACCAATACTATTGTTTTTCTTTCAAAGCCATTGATGGTTGTGCCAGCACAAAATTACAAGTCATCATGACAGAGGTTTTGAGGATACTGCAATTGTTATTGCACTGATCATGTTTGATTATATACTTTCTCTGTCTCTCGGAAACTGTAACTATTGTGAGAAAAAGCATCTAAAATTAAATAAAGAAACATTGGCTTAATAATAATAATGATGACAATGTTTCAAGACAAGGGATTTGGATAAGTAGATATCTTGCTAATTGAACAATAGAAAGAAAAACTAATTTTAAAAATGAATTCATATCCAAAAATCTAAAACTCCCCTGCTAAAGAAAAAACAAGTTATAGTGGAGAGATTAGAGAAGAAAAGAAATTATCTACATGGCTAATTTGAATGATCAGCTTTTGAGAAGCTAATTCATGATAAATGCAAAATTTAAATCTTTACATCTGATCAATACTGATTGACAGTACGAGAATGATTTGAAAGTTGTGATAAAAAAAAAAAAACAGAATTAAAACAAGAAATATTAATTAATAATCTACTCTAAAAAAAAAAAAAAAAAAAAAACAAAAACAAAAAAACCCCAAAAAAACAACAGTAGATAGTTTGCCTATTGTCCAGTTCATACTCTTCCTTGGTACTCCTGAACGAAAGTATAGGTTTATCACTTGTTTGCTGTTCCTTCTTTTTCATTCTTTCATTCCCAGTAACCCCTTGCATGTTAGTGGCATCATTGCCTTGCTTGTGGTGAATTGATTTAAAAAAAAAAAAAAAAAAAAAAGAGAAGTTTTATATATTTCTTAGTTATGCAACTTGGTCTCTCCTTAGTAATGAGATATTCCATTGTTATGTAACAAGAAGCAATGATTGACATCAATATCTCATGTTACTGATGATATATTGTTATGGTGAGTAAGAAAGATAAGGCCACTTTTTTTTTTCTTTTGCATCATGTTAGCTTTTTTAGTGGGGGGGATATTTTTTACTTTTATTGATAAAAAAAAAAAACTTCTTGCTCATGTGCAATTACAGAATTAATTTTGAATATACAGAATTTCTAGATTACTCAAGCAGAAAATATATTTAATGCAATTACAAAATCACTTAAATATTGTTATTTCTTTATAGTACAGGTCATTTTACTTTTGATGTGATATTTTTTACTTTTAATAATTTAAAAATCAGAACTCTTATGTTAGACAAGTGATTCTCAACCACTGTGCTGCGGCACATAAGTAACTCTTAAGTATATCGCAAAATATTGTCATGCAATATTGAAGAAATTGCAAAAAAAAAAAAAAAAAAAAAAACACCAGGTACAGGTTTCAAACTAAATAAGCTGTACAAATAGTTGAATAGAAACATTGAAATAAAGTAAGTTCATGATATTTAACATTTAAAATCATGCATTATTCACTACTTTCCATTCTACAGCATTGTTTTGCAAGGCTCTTCTATGGCATTACTTTAATTTTAGTCGTGGTCATGCTGTGATGACATCCAAGGTCATCTATATACCTGACTCACTATGTTCACAGGTTTGTCTGCTTGGCCGTGATCGAATTTAACAAAGAATAACAACAAATGCTTTTCAAGACACTGATTGGGAAGTAGCGATCAATATGATTTCTCACTTAAATGGCAACATCTTCCTTTGGCTTTGAGACTACTATCTTACTAACTTCTGGCCATGGAGAGTGGGCCCTAACATTCACTGACAATCTTGGTGACTGCTGACTCCTCCTTGCTTGCTGGTCCCTTCTCAACTCACTAAGTCATTATATGGATACAGGCTCGGGTCCCACCACCCCTCTCTGACCACTTGTTTTCCGGAAAAGAACACCACCCATTCAGCTTTTGGGTGGTCAGTTTTTCAAACGACTCTACTTTTATGATTATCTAAAATCATTAACAAAATTTCATGTTTGCCAATTCAAAGGCAGGCTGGAGAGAGAAACCCTGAATAACCTGGTCATTAAATTGACTTAAAAGATGGACTGGAGACATGATTCCTAAGAAACTCAGGTCATTAAATTGACTTAAAAAGGAAAAAGAATCTATTTATTTCCTAAGGATGTGTGAGAAATTGTATTGTTACACATTTTGTTTCCATAGCAGGATATAACAACACAACTGCAAAATTCAAACATGCTATTATTCATTCATCTGAGTTACTTGTAGTGGCAGGATAAAATTTTTGCTTTGCAAACAAAATCACCTCCAGAATGTTAAAGGTTAAATGTATACCCTTTAAAAACTTTGCTAAGAATGCCAGGATATTTTCATTTGCTCCCAGGTGTGCCAGGATATTTTCATTTGCTCCCAGGTGTGCCAGGATATTTTCATTTGCTCCCAGGTGTGCCAGGATATTTTCATTTGCTCCCAGGTGTGCCAGGATATTTTTTCATTTGCTCCCCCAGGATATTTTCATTTGCTCCCAGGTGTGCCAGGATATTTTCATTTTCCCAGGTGTGCCAGGATATTTTCATTTGCTCCCAGGTGTGCCAGGATATTTTCATTTGCTCCCAGGTGTGCCAGGATATTTTCATTTGCTCCCAGGTGTGCCAGGATATTTTCATTTGCTCCCAGGTGTGCCAGGATATTTTCATTTGCTCCCAGGTGTGCCAGGATATTTTCATTTGCTCCCAGGTGTGCCAGGATATTTTCATTTGCTCCCAGGTGTGCCAGGATATTTTCATTTGCTCCCAGGTGTGCCAGGATATTTTCATTTGTTCCTAGGTGTACTGTTGTTTAAAAAGGTTGGAGAAACACTGTCTTAGACAATAAAATTAGCTGTATTGATTTTTTTTAAGTACAAGATTACTTATGCAGAAAATACAACCAATGCAATTACAAAATTACTTAAATATAGACATAATTTCTTTACAGGTCATGTTAGTTTTGATATATTTTTTTTCTTTTAATAATTTAAAAATTAGTACTCTTATATTAGACAACAGTGTTAGTGGTATTGATATAAATTCTGGATTACACATATAGAAAATATAACCAATGTAATTTTAAAATTACTTCAAAATTGCCTATTATCTTTTGTTGGTATGGATAAACTAGTTAATAATAATAATAATGAATGAATGATATGTAGAAATTAAGAATTCATTTTTATGTCTCAAGACTTTTTACGCAATATTGTTAGTTTATTGATATGTAATAAAAATAAATAAAATCTCAGGCTACATTGAAGTCCTTCTGCCCGATTCTTTCAAATTGGCAGCAAAGATAAAGGAAAGCATTTTTACAATTTTTCAGACAGGGTATTTGACTGACAAAAAAAAAAAAAAATTTCAATTGTTTCTTATATATTGCCAATAAATAAAAGAAATCAATAGAGACGCGGATGTAATAAGGCCAAAAAACTGGCTTTCTTTAATTTCTTTTTTTTTTTTTCCTTGCAGATGCAAACAAGAAAATATTGTCTAGTGTTACGTGGCCAGCACCACATTGATATGACAAGTTATCTTGGATGACTATCAATTTCTCTCAGACTGGCAGCAGTGAGCAAGTATCCATAGCTACTGGCTATCAATTATAAATTGTTTATGCATTTAGAAAAGTCAAAGCTGCTGCTGCTTTTCAGTTGTGGGTAGAATTTCTATGGTAATATTTAGTTATAGTAAAAAAGCAAACAAAAACAATAGAAAATATTGTACTGTGTCAGCATATGTGAGGCACAGGATTAAAAAAATAAAGAAATCAATGCAATAGTTATTACACCAAACTTTGTATACCAAAGTTTGAAATGGACAGCCACAAGGCTTGGGTCAGTTGCCGTGAGTGCCAGTCTTCAAAATTCTGTTGTAAACCATGCATCTTGTTGGGTGCCAAATATGATATTTAAAAGATAATCAAGTATTTTATTACATTCAGAAGTTTGAAAATCGTTTAAGCTTGTTAACAAAAAAAAAAAAAAAAAAAAAAAATTGTGTGTGTGTGTATATATATATATATATATATATATATATATATCATTTCACCCCAATCAAGGCAATAAAACCACTAGGCACAAAGAGTTATTGAGTAAGAGAATATGAGAAAAAACAACCATTAAGAAGAGAGAACAATAAAAGAGAAAACAGATAAACATTGCATTTAAATTTTTGAAGATCAAACTTAACTGGGAAGCAAAAAGTTGGAAGAGAGTTCCACAAGTGAGAAGTGTGAGAGAAGAAATTTAGCAAATAACTTACTATTACATCTAGCCATCTCAGCTGTAAAATGATTAGACCTTGCCACCAATCTAGTATTGCATTTAAATTCATAAAGTCTAGGTACCAAAAAGGAATGTTCATCAGAACAATTATCATGAAAATATTTATAGAAAAGGCAGAGGGAAGCAGAAAGTGACTGAAGCCAAGATGCTAGGTCAGGACCAATAACACACAAAACACACAATTCGCCATGAAAGGAAAAAAAAAAAAAAAAAAAAAAAAAGGTGAAGAAAGAAACAAAAAAGGTAAAAACAAAAAATTCTTATTGCTTTCTTGCACCTAGAATTTCTCCATTTAAATTTGAAGCACCTTGTAAGAAACTATTTCATTAGCGCCCACACAAATGAAACCAGTCAACCAAACCCACTTTGTGATGAGGTGGGTTTGTTTGTACTATAGCATATAATACTTGGATTTGTATTTTTAATTGCTGAATAAATTAAAGAAAGTAGATATATTTTGGGGTATTGAATTATATATAAATTTTCTCTAAAGGGTGTGTGTGTGTGTGTTGTTTGAAATAAGTATATATAATTAGAATTACTGTGTAAAGCCTGTTTAACCATATACTGATAAGGAAAAATAAAAGTGGATCATATTACTTTGATTAATTTATGTATTAATGTATTTGTGAGGAAGAAACAAGTTAAAAAGCAATTTAAGAAACAAAATTAAGTTGATAAATTTAATGGAGATACTTTTGACGATCATTCTCAGTTTTCAGTACTTAAGTCAGGGGTGAGATGGTTAAATTTCACTGTGCTAATTACTGACACAGATTTTTTAGTGGGTGTCAGTTTAACTTATTTATGAAATCTATATAGACATCAAGTATCAAACGGCCGCATCCATTAAGAGACTATTAAGAATGAATCAATCCCAAAAATATATATATATATATATATATATATATAGAGAGAGAGAGAGAGAGAGAGATATGTAGAAAGAGGGTTTATCAAAAATACTGTCAGGGAAGGTCAGTAAAACATGCTCCCAATCACTGTAATATAATTCATAAGAACACCGGTAGGATTTCTTCAATAAATATGTGAAAATATAACAAATTCTGCTTATGAAAGTTGAATGAATAATAATCATGACTGCCTGCACTTGAATTGTGTTTACAGAGAAGACAAGGTTTCAGTTTTTGTTATTGCCCACTTTATGTCTAGTTTAACATTCCTTTTTATTCATTTCCTATACGATCAACCTAAAATGTTTTTGGTAAAAAAAAAAAAAAGAAAAGAAAGAATTGGATGACAAAATACTGAATTTTGCAGCTTTTGACCTAAAATTTGATTTAATTTCAACACTTCATCAGGCATATTGGAAAAAAAAAAAAAAAATCAAGATAAAAAGGAATTGTTAGTTATGATTAAGTATTGATTAAATCTAATTAATATATATTCACAGTATAGATCGGCATTCTGTTTTGCTTATCTCAAATTATTTTCCCCTAAGTATAAAACCATAAAAAAAAGAAGATAAAAGTGGAGAGGAAGCATTAAAGTGGGAAGAGTTAAGAAAAGCATAAAAACTATAAAACTTTGGTTTGAAAATTTGAATTCATTCCGTGTACCTCTGAATTATTTACTAATCATAGACAATTCTGTCACAAATCCCAGTATTGAAGCACCCAAGGAGAAGTGATCCCTCAAGAGGATCAAATTAGCTAAAGAGACTATCATCCTAACTACAGTACAGTAATATCTTACAGTCATTCACTAGACTTAACTTAGTCTGGCACAAGGTTATAATAATATGGTAACCAGACATTACTGAACTTACTACACTCAGGAATTTGAGAATGAAACATCCCATAATAAGCACCCAGTTAGGTTGTTTTTTTTCCTCTTTTGCTTCTGTTTTTTTAAAAACTATAAAATCTCTGGTTTCTTCCACAAATATCTTAATATTTTCTTAAAGCATTCATCACTGTATATTTCAGCCCCATGAGTTAATATTGCATTGGCTGTAAGTGTGCTCAAAGTTATGAAGCAATGCAGCTAACAGTTAGAATCCAAATGAAACACCAATGCAGATGTAACAGATTTTGAAAGCCAACTTGTTTTCTTTGTTATCAAAACTTAGCAGTTAATTACTTTTGCCAGGGAAAGGTCATTAATTCCACAACCTTGGAAGAAAAAAAAAATCAAACTAAACAGCTTTACATAAACACAGATGTCGAAGTATATGATGGAGATGATCAATAAAATAATATTTGGTGTTTTGAGATTTACCACTGTCTTCATTCTATAAACTAATCTTAAAAAGATGTGTATTTATATTTGCCAGCCTATAAAAATATATACTGAAGATTACTCTTGTTGTGTGGAGGTTAGCAAGTTTGTCTACGCCATGTAAGTTTTCTGTGTGGAAGTAAATGTTTTCATAATAAAATTGGAATTAACTAAATAATATTGTTAAAATATATTGGATATATTAAATCAAATCAAAAGTAATTTCCATTTTTAGGAACAAATTGTAATAATGACTGTTTCATCCTAAATAACAGTTCATTAACTATATCACATGAAAAACTGGTTACATATGACAATGTTCAACATAAAAGGCAGTGGATTGACAGGGAGAAATCTCAATTGACCACAAAAACTGAGCTCCAGGGAAGAAAGGTAATGTTGTGCATGTGGTAGGATCATCAGGGTATCATTCATTTAAAGTTCTTAAAACAAAATGAAATGATAAATGCACATTTATACCTCCAGCAGCTGCAATGTGTCCATAAAAGTTAGGTTGAAAAGTGCCCTGTACTCATCAAAAGAAGAAATGTTTTTCTCCTCCATGACAACACAAGGCTGCCTACAGGTAGAATAACATTGTTGGGCAGGGGGGAATATTTGTAACTGTCTGTTCTACTCTCTCCCACCACATTCACTTGCCCATGCACCGGACGATTATTACCTTTTTTTGATTGCTGCAAAATGCTTTGAGGAGGAAACTTTCTCTAATAAAAACCAGATTCAAGAGTTTGTCAAAAACTTTTTCACATTAAAACCTGCAGAATTTTACTCAAAAGGTATGGAAATTCAAATGTAAAATGATGAGACCTTGTAACCAACCTCATAGTACATTTAAATTCATAAGGTCAGGATACCAAAGAGGAAAGCTCATCAGAACAATTACCATGAAAATATTTATAGAAAAGGCACAGGGAAGTTACATTACTGTGTCATATTAAGACTCCTTTTGTGGTTAAGCTAAAAACTATTCAGTACACTTTGATATTATGAGTTTTTGCAAAGTTTATGATCTTTGTCTTGGTCATAAGAGTTTTAACATGCAACATTTGTCATTGTGGTTGAGAATTTACTGAATGAAAGATTGAACTACAGGTGAAGTTTTCTTCTTTCAAATTGTTTGAGCCCACCTGGCCATATGGAAAGGTTAAGACAAAGGTTAGGACTCAAATGAAGTTTCCTTTTTGGTGCTTGCTGGTCAGTTTATATACACTGTCATCATCAAAGCTACATACAAATAAGTAATTATATGTCCAGATTATGTGCTTTGCTCTCATTTAACTGATGTGTCCTTTTGAATATACAACTTTCTGTAGTAAATTCAAGACATGCTGTTGAATATTACACAATGTCATTATAATTAATTTTTCTTTTCATTTGCACTATGAATCACAGAATTCTAATTTAGTTCTTCTTAAACAGCCCCCTTTTCAGGCTCATGGATGCAGTCTCCTTCAGTTTACACATCCTTTATCATATTTTGATCCCATTCCAAAGAGAGAAAATGGGCTTGCATTTCTTTTTCAAGGACAAGAATATAGAATATATACAGACATCTTAGAATATCAGATAATATTTTTCTTAAGCAATGTTAGAAGTCACATACACAATTTTGGCCAGTGGTGGATCTACAATGAAATTAAAGCTTCAGGGACTAGCAACTGAAAAATCTATTGATAGCTTGCATTTTGGTAGATAGATTCTCAGATCTTTCATTGCATGACTTAATAGTTCTATAGCTCAGCCCTGGGGCTAGAGACAATTAGAACCATAAAAAGACATTTGAATTCTTGATTCAGGCTGCACTCCTCTCATTTGTGTATTTTAAAACTAAAAATCAACTCACCTCTTTAGACTAATAAACACAATATGATGATTTGCCTCTCATAATAGTCTACCGTAGAACCCCATTGATAAAAATAATGGCAGTTACCTAGACATTGTTGTTGCTAGAAAGAGACTCACTGGATCGCTTACCCTACCACTTCATTCTCTGTAATTTGGACCTCAGGGTCCTTAAAAGGCAGCAAGGCCCTTTGAACCTTGTTGGGTATTTCTCTATTTTTGCTGCTCCATAACAGTTCAAATATTAAGATAAAAAAAATTTAGGTCCATGATCAAATTTGACTCAAAACCTTTAAGAAGAAAAATAAAATAAAATGATTTATTTGCAAATCACAAGCTACATAGATATCAGTATACTTCTGAGGGAAGTGTTGTAGCTTATCTAACAAGAACATGATATTTTGCATCTAGTGGCTTGGATAATCCTATGTTTTATTTTCAGAGTCGTCAGTCGGTTGATTATCTTCATTTGGATGTAGTTTTTGTAAAATAGGTTTTTTCTTTATATAGACAAATCCATAGTCATTGGCTAGCCAATCCTCGTTGTAGGTGCCTGCTCAGACAAATTCGTGTTTAACATCCATAGAGCCCACCTGTGGTTTAAACTGCAAATATGCTGACAAACCGTAGTTACAATTTCTGGTAGTGAGCACATGATCTGGCATGATTAACAGTTTGGACAAAGTCAGTACACTCAATTGATTGTTTTCAAACTGTTCTGTTTCTCCAATTTCCCTCACAAAGCTTGGGTCAAAATGCAGCATGTGGTTTTCAGGCACTTTCCAACAGCATTGCCACTCCAGGCGAATAACATTGAAAAGTTACCTCCCTGCCAAATTGATTATAGTGAGATTTGAACCAGCGTCTCATGATCAGAAATTGAATGTTCGAACCATTTGGCCATGGGCCCAGGACTGTATTATACATTTGTTTTTAAAATAATCTAATTTGATTTTTTACTATTACAAACTTTTATACTGAATATACTATAGACAAAATTTGGTTGGGATGAGCAAATTTTTTTTAAATAAAAAACAAAAAACAAAACAAAAAAAATCTAGAGATTCAAGATATAATAGCCATAATGTAGACTGATACTTTAAAAAGAAAATAGGTTCAAGGCGTTATCACATTGAAACATCGGTTCCCATACAATGACCAAAGTTAAGCAACATTGAGCCAGATCAGTACCGAGATGGGTGACTGCGAATAGCAAGTGCTGCAAATAGATAATGGCTTGGAATTGGAAATCAGAGAGACTAGTTCCAATTTCAGTTGGGCTGGTTGTATTCACTTACATGCAAATACCCTGGGGGAAAAGCATTTACATTCTCTCCTCCACTTCAAGATTCGTTCAGGTCAGAGTGTGTGATTATTTTTTTTAATTTTCTTGTATATGATTAAAAAGTGGGACAGATTCACAAAAGATTTGTTTTCAATTATTTTCCTAACAAAGATCAAGTTAAGCTAAGATGTTTTGTGCAATGTTCCTTTTTGTTCCCCCACCCCACAAGCAGTTTAGTCAGAGTTGGCTGTAAAAAAAAAAAAATAATGAGCAGAGCAAAGTTAGAGCATATTGGATTTGGTTCATGGCTGATTATACTTTTTAATCAAAATTGTTATGCTTGCTGGTGCAAAACTCATACTGGTGCCAAAATTAACTTGGACTTTTCTCCACTTGCAGATATTTTCAGAGAAATTATTGACCAGTTAACATTTTCATCTGGTTCCATTATCTGGGATAAATTCTGACCAAATGCATACAGTTTACATGAATATTTTTGGAAAGAGGCCAACCCCCTCCCTCAAGAAATGTAAGCTATATTTAATCCATGTAACATTTAATTTCAAACTACAAAATGAATCATACAATAAACCAATTATATAACAAAAACATTTAATAAAAGATGGTGGTGATTGAAGTGAATAATAAATTATATCCGTGATCATAATTACTTTAAAGAGAGATATTTTTTCTCTGCTTCTGAACAAAGATACCTGGAATTGTACAGCTTAAATCCCTTCAATTTACTCTGGAGTGTTACGCAGTTACCTGCATACTATAAAAAGGTATTGATTAAAATGGTTTGATATATTTAAACATTTTGGTCATTATTTCATCCATGTCATGTTATTGTAACCTGACTCCTGGCTTTAACCACTTGACATAATCTGTGCTAATGCTAGTCACCTAATACAACACGCTCCTCTAGATTTCAAATATCATACCCTTGGGTTGACCACTACACTTTGGTGAAGGTGGCTTGTATTCTGTGCAATCAATTTTGCTAGTGCATTTCCTTCACTAGAATTTGTGTCATCTAGTGAATTTCATTCATTGTGTACCTGCCAGAAATGAATGTTCAGTACAGTTCTTTATCTACCTCTGACTGGCCATGGCTTTTTGTTGAACTCAGCAATACTTTAATTGTACTGTCTCTTCAATTCCAGGTGAGTTTAGTGAAAAAGGTGTGAACTTGCCAACAGAAGAAATGACACTGCTGAAAAATTATCAACAATTTATTCGAGGGTGAAATTTAAAAACCATGCAACAGCTACGGGACTGTTTCACCCCAATCACTTCCTTTCTACCCTTGATGCAGTGAGAGACATCTGCATGTTAAGATATAGAAAAGTGCTAACATCTTAGAAGTGAAGGACTTCTACAGAGAATTTTCTCTAATACATGATGGATATGGGCGGCGCTGCCAGTTTTTGATTTTGAGGCATGTGCTCTGACAATTTCTGAGTAAACTGATGTGCACATATTTTGTTCATATAGAATTTGGCCCAGAATGAACATAACTAGCTTCTCAAACAAAGAACCGCCTGTTAAACAACACAGATGGCCATACTATAGAGTACTTTTTAATTTTGGTTGGGGGGATGCCAGTTATGCTGAACCTTACTTTGTTTAATTTGAGTTCAAACTCTTCTGAGTATTTTATGGGTTTAAATTACCATTTTTTAAACTAGAATCCCCCCCCATCAAACTCCAATTGGATTAATCACTCTCTCATATTTTTCTCCTAATATCTCTACTACCTCACTCAGAATCATCAAGTTTCTCAATACCTCAAGTCAATAACCATTTTCCATGAATTAGTATGACTCAATCAGTGCCACTGCCCTGTTACATAATTTGTAATATTAATTTACATTATTTACATGTGGACTATTATCCTCATCTTTGTTGTTGTTATCACAAAGCTTTGCCTTTTGTGCCCTCTGAACTTCACCAGGTGCTTGTCAATCCATGTAACCATCAGGAAGTTTTAAACTGATCCCTTTATTTAATCTATGGGTGTAGACTGATCTCATTCTGTTGACCACGTCCAGAGATATCTAATTTTTTTTTTAAATAGTACTGCTTACTTATTGCTTGTCAGTTTTACCCTAACTCAGTGGAAAGGGAGACGAGCAATAACTGAGTAGTACTAAATAAGAACTAGACAAGATATCCCTCAAAATGGTCAAAGGAATGAGAATAATGTATCCCTGTAGATTAAATAGAGGGTTCGATTCAAAATTCACTGAAGGTTACATGAATCAACCTGACCAAGACCAGAGAGCACAATGGCTGAAATGTGATAATAAAGATGGGGATAATAGTCTGCATATAAATAAAAGATAAATCCCTATCCCAGAAATTCAGACAAAAATTTATGATAATTATTAGTTTTTCAAAATATACTATTAAAAAAATGTCAACAGTGCTTTTGTCCTATGACTGAAGCTGTGATTTAAATGTAAAAAGGTAGTTACCACTTTCAAGGCAGAAAATGATTTTATTTGAATAACAAAGTATGTATACCCATGTTTCATAGACTATGCAAAAAGCATTTGATAAGCTACAATACAAAGACCTATTTAAACTCCTAAGAAAACTTGATTTATTAGGAAAGACAGAATAATCGAGAAATTATACTCGGAGCAAACAACCTGCATAGAGATAGAAAATGAATTGAGTAAGTACATAAAATAGAAAAGGGCGTAAGACAAGGATGTGTCTTCTCACCAGATTTATTCAACCATTACAATGAGGTGATCCAAAAGTCCTACCAGGATTTATTATTTGTGGGAACAAGTTTAACAATATAAGATATGCAGATCACAGAGTGTTAACAAAGAAAGGAAACTTCTGGAACTCCTAGACAAGGAAAGTGAGAAGAAAGAACTGACCAGCAAGAAGAATGTCTGGTTGTTAGCAAAAGGGACATCCCAAAATGTGAGTTACAAAATGGAGATGTCAAAAAACAAGTATTTAAATATCTATAAATTGTTTCAACAGAACAGAAAATATAACAGTGAGAGCTGAAGATGCATTGGAATAGCAAAAGATGCCTACCTAAAGTTAAACAAAGTATTAAATAACAGGAAAATTTCATAAGAAACAAAGAAGAGTTGCTCAACTGCCATGTCATATCAGTCCTCGTATATGGCAGTGAATGTTGGACAATTTCCTCACAGACAAAAAGTAGACTTGAGGCAGGAAAGATGTAGTTCTAGAGAAGAATGCTGAAAATGCCATTGATGGAGCATTAAAGATGTTTTAAGGAAAATGGAAACAAAAAAGATGCTTATATTTAGAATGAGAAAGAGACAATTGAAATTTCCAGGCAATATAATGAAGAAATAAAGGCTTGGAAAATTTGACACTCACAGGACATATTGAAAGCAAGAAGGACAAAGGGGAAACAGTGAAAAACCTACTTAACAAGATTGTGTAAAAGGATATCAGAACACGGAGTAAAAAGACAAACATTGCTAAAAGCTACAAAGGATAGGAAATTGTAGAGAGCCATGATTGCATATGCTTTGAAGGAAAATGGCTCACAGAATAAGTAATTCAATTATAAAAGTCATCAACAAAACAATCATTTATAACAATAAAAAAACAAATGAGAAATGAATGACAAAATGCCATCTTATTTAACCCTTTAGCATTCATCACACTCAAACCTGCCCCATAAATATCAGCTCTTAAAGCCTCACCGTTTGCAGTCAAAGTCTCACTGTTTGCGTGACTTCCTGCATTACTTGCAATGATGTTGTTATATATTATGGCAGGGTATACATGAGGTGGGTTATGTTGGGTTGAATATCGAGAGCTTATATTTACGGGGTGGGTTTGGGTGTGTTGAATGCTAGAGGGTTAAATTTGTTTTTTTAAAACAAAATATGCGAATCAGTTATCTTTATTAAACAAAATCCATTAAGTTGGACTAAATATAAGACATAGGCTGGTGGTAGTATATAAATTTAGTATATAAATGATAGACCATATATATTTGATGTTGCAGTATATCATAATATTTTTGCAGGCAACCAACTTTATATATGTTTAATTTTCAGGGTTTTGACACACAAACATACAAACTTTGAGCTTTAGATG